GAGAGAGAGAGAGAGAGAGAGAGAGAGAGAGAGAGAGAGAGAGAAACAGCATCTTCGAGGGAAAAGTATTCTGCTTACAAAAAACCCGTAACACCTCTTGGTGTTATTCTTCACCATGTTTATGTTATTTTTTTCTGAATTTCCTACCCTTGGCATGAGGGGAAATGATTGATATTCAAGCAAGTTCTTCAGGAAAAGAAAATAATCTTCCTAAGTCAGATTTCTGTGTCAGCTCAGAATCTATCTTTATTTCATGCTTTGCTCTTTGGATTTATAACTCTGTTTAGACTATTCCCTACATTTTAGGTATATTTTGTGCCTTCAGACACTGCAAATAATAATCGGCATTTGGATTAAAGTTGTTTCTTAATGAAACTTGTCTTTGCTCCCTATGCGCTTATTCTTGGGGTGAAGGAACGCTGCTGTCGCTTGCTCCCGGCGGGCCGTGGCAGGAACTGCGCTCTGCCCCATCCGCATGGACGGTGTTGAGGGCAAGTCCTGTCCCCAGGTGGGTCTCAGATATACCTGGAGGTAGGACGGACCTGCCTCACCGGTGTATATCCAGAGACCACCATCAACCAGGGCACAGTGTGAGGGGCAGCCTGAACAGCAATCCCAATTTTTGGTTAACCTGTTTTATTTAAAATGTTAAATTCTCAGACTCTTAGGAGAGAATTGGGCTGTAATACACGGAGGACTGTTCCCATGCTGGGTGCAATGAACGTCCTTCTCAGTGTCAGCGGACATTTTTTCTTCTCTCATCTCTTTGCTCACTCTGGCCCTGGATAAGTTGCTTGTCTGTGCTTAGGACTCAGGGCTAAAGGACCCGCATTCTTTGAGGACCCGTAGCTTGGCTTCTCAATGTCTGGCCCTCACTGTGTCTGTGNGTGAGGGGCAGCCTGAACAGCAATCCCAATTTTTGGTTAACCTGTTTTATTTAAAATGTTAGATTCTCAGACTCTTAGGAGAGAATTGGGCTGTAATACACGGAGGACTGTTCCCATGCTGGGTGCAATGAACGTCCTTCTCAGTGTCAGCGGACTTTTTTTCTTCTCTCATCTCTTTGCTCACCCTGACCCTGGATAAGTTGCTTGTCTGTGCTTAGGACTCAGGGCTAAAGGGCCCGCATTCTTTGAGGACCCGTAGCTTGGCTTCTCAATGTCTGGCCCTCACTGTGTCTGTGGGCGCCTTTCTCCAGTGGGTTTCCCCTACACTCGGGCTCAGGGTCATTATCCTTGGCTCCCAGACACAAGTGCTCCCCAATCCCCCCTTGGCATCACCAAGTCCCCTCTGACTTCTAGCCCTCCCGGGGGGGATCAGCCCCACTGTCTGTCTTGAGCTAAATAAAGCTGACCTGAAGATACTGGTTTTCATGGTCAAGATCTCAACTTCTAGGAACAGAAAGAACGCCTGGCCATGGTTCCTTTGCCCTGTGCCAGTGACGGCTTCTCCGGGGATCAGCCCCACTGTCTGTCTTGAGCTAAATAAAGCTGACCTGAAGATACTGGTTTTCACGGTCAAGATCTCAACTTCTAGGAACAGAAAGAACGCCTGGCCATGGTTCCTTTGCCCTGTGCCAGTGACGGCTTCTCCAATGTTGGGGTCTAGCTTCTTAGACCAGGGATGGGGGCAGACGGCAGACGTCCCCAGATGATCTGAACAGACAGATGGAGCTGGGCAGGAGCTGCTGCGGGGGACCCCAAAGAGGTCTGCTCTCATAAGAAAAAGCTACCCAGTTCCTAAATTCTAAATCCCCCAAATCATGCCATGTTGAAACTAATTTCATATCTGATTTTTGTTTTTTCAATCACTAAAGGAGGAGCAAGGACTCATAAAAGAAGAAAAGACCACTGGATCTAAAGTCCATGATGGCATGGAGGACTATTTAGTTCCTATGGCCGATGCCTTTTCATTTAATAATCATTTAGTTTAATAATAGATAATGGAATTATTATCAGATATTTTAAATATTACTAAATTTAATAATTATATTTTAAATATGACTAAATATTTCATTTAATAATAGAGATGTTAATATCTAATGGACAATTTGGGTCTCCATGTGACCTTCAGGTTCCAAGGCTAAGGAGCTACTTAATTCCCTGACTCTGCCTCTGTCTTCAGTACACTTTCAGTCCTTTAAGTACCTGCTCATGAATTAGCACTGACGTCTTCACTAAAGCCTTATTTTCTGCTCCTAGCTTTGACAATACAAGATTAGATAAAAACTCAAAAAAATTTTAACTGACC